CTAGAGTGAGACCAGAGAGGAACCAGAGAGAGACTAGAGTGAGACTAGAGTGAGACCAGAGAGAGACCAGAGAGGGACCAGAGAGAGACTAGAGTGAGACTAGAGTGAGACCAGAGAGAGACCAGAGAGAGACAAGAGTGAGACCAGAGAGAGACCAGAGAGAGACTAGAGTGAGACCAGAGAGAGACCAGAGAGGGACCAGAGAGAGACTAGAGTGAGACTAGAGTGAGACCAGAGAGAGACCAGAGAGGGACCAGAGAGAGACTAGAGTGAGACTAGAGTGAGACCAGAGAGAGACCAGAGAGAGACAAGAGTGAGACCAGAGAGAGACCAGAGAGAGACCAGAGAGAGACTAGAGTGAGACCAGAGAGAGACCAGCGAGAGACTAGAGTGAGACCAGAGAGACCAGAGAGAGACTAGAGAGAGGAGCAGAAAGAGACCAGCGAGAGACTAGAGGGAGACCAGAGAGACTAGAACGCTACTAGAGACCAAAGAGTGTGAGTGCAGAGAGAGAGAGAGAGACCAGAGAGAGAGACTAGAGAGAGACCCTGTATCCATGGAGACTCATCTCGTGACAAAGACTCAGACATTTTTTTTTACAAGTAGTTTTTTATTTGAGTTTTCTTACAAAACATTTCCCCATAAACCAGAACACACAGACTGTGATATCTACAACAGTGAAGAGTGTAGCTCCGCCCCCAGGAGAGAAACCCTACCAACCGAGGCCGTGTCCCAGCTTCTACTCTCTCATCAGGACAGGATATTCAGGCAGAGACCAGGGAGAGACCAGGGAGAGACCAGAGAGAGACCAGAGAGAGACCAGAGAGAGACCAGGGAAAGACCAGAGACAGACCAGGGAGAGACCAGAGAGAGACCAGGGAGAGACCAGGGAGAGCCCAGGGAGAGACCAGGGAGAGACCAGAGAGAGACCAGAGAGAGACCAGGGAGAGACCAGAGACAGACCAGAGACAGACCAGGGAGAGACCAGGGAGAGACCAGGGAGAGACCAGGGAGAGACCAGGGAGAGACCAGGGAGAGACCAGGCAGAGACCAGGGAGAGACCAGAGAGAGACCAGGGAGAGACCAGGGAGAGACCAGGGAGAGACCAGGCAGAGACCAGAGAGAGACCAGAGACAGACCAGGGAGAGACCAGGCAGAGACCAGAGAGAGAGACCAGAAAGAGAGAGCAGAGAGAGACCAAAGGGAGAGACCAGAAGTTGTATTGAACCTTATTTCTCCTGAGAAATCGCCAAGACTAATTTATGTGCAATACTTTTGTGATGTCATAGAGGTTCAAGGACCTCAGTCCTGGGTCTACAGCCTCAGTCCTGGGTCTACAGCCTCAGTCCTGGGTCTACAGCCTCAGTCCTGGGTCTACAGTCTCAGTCCTGGGTCTACAGCCTCAGTCCTGGGTCTACAGCCTCAGTCCTGGGTCTACAGTCTCAGTCCTGGGTCTACAGCCTCAGTCCTGGGTCTACAGCCTCAGTCCTGGGTCTACAGTCTCAGTCCTGGATCTACAGCCTCAGTCCTGGGTCTACAGTCTCAGTCCTGGGTCTACAGCCTCAGTCCTGGATCTACAGCCTCAGTCCTGGGTCTACAGCCTCAGTCCTGGGGTCTACAGTCTCAGTCCTGGGTCTACAGCCTCAGTCCTGGGTCTACAGCCTCAGTCCTGGGTCTACAGCCTCAGTCCTGGGTCTACAGCCTCAGTCCTGGAGCCACAGAAACCATATGGGACACCAGTGAACAGTGACAGTGACGGGGACCAGCTGAGGGACAACATGCTGCCGTCCGGACGAACACAGTGAGAGAAACAGAGCTACCGAGTGAACAGGAAGATAAATAAATGTCTTTTTTCTCTTCTCAGTGCAACAGTGGTCTAAGGAAACAAAAATAGAACTGTCTCTGTGCCAAAACAACATGGCAGTTAGCAGCAAAAAGTGAACAAACGTGGCTAAATCTACTTTTCGGACTCTCTTTGCCGTTTGCATCGTGGCTCCTGGGGATACAGGCACAGGACCGACTCTGTACAAAGCTGGTGTGTGTGTGAATGTGAGAGAGACGCTACACAACGGACGCTGGGGAACTGGGTACGGCGGCTAGTTAGCGTTAGCGGCTAGTTAGCGTTAGCATGGGTGTAGAGGAGACCAATGGATTTGAAAAGAGAAAGAGTTGAGGAGAGAAAAGACACTTAAGAACCCACAAAGTCCTCCTCAGGTCTGTGGGTCTGGGCTGCAGTACCATGGGTGGCCTCTAGTCCAGGTGGAAGTCTTTTGTTCATCCTTTTTGGTCTCTCTATCATACCTCTCTAGTGCGTCTCTGGTCTCTCTCTGATCTTTCTCTAGTCTCTCTCCATTCTCTCTCTAGTCTCTCCATTCTCTCTCTCTAGTCTCTCCATTCTCTCTCTAGTCTCTCCATTCTCTCTCTCTAGTCTCTCCATTCTCTCTCTCTAGTCTCTCCATTCTCTCTCTCTAGTCTCTCTCCGGTCTCTCCATTCTCTCTCTCTAGTCTCTCTCCGGTCTCTCCATTCTCTCTCTCTAGTCTCTCTCCGGTCTCTCCATTCTCTCTCTCTAGTCTCTCTCCGGTCTCTCCATTCTCTCTCTCTAGTCTCTCCATTCTCTCTCTAGTCTCTCCATTCTCTCTCTCTAGTCTCTCCATTCTCTCTCTCTAGTCTCTCCATTCTCTCTCTAGTCTCTCCATTCTCTCTCTCTAGTCTCTCCATTCTCTCTCTCTAGTCTCTCTCCGGTCTCTCCATTCTCTCTCTTTAGTCTCTGTAAATTAAAGTCTACCTTTTATATTTCTTTAGCTGTGGTTGAAGATACTGCTGTTGTCGAGAGAGAGAGAGAGAGAGACCAGAGAGGGAGAGAGACAGAGACCAGAGAGAGAGAGAGAGTCCAGAGAGAGAGAAAGAGCAGAGAGGGAGCGAGAGAGAGAGAGACCAGAGAGGGAGAGTGAGAGAGTCCAGAGAGGGAGAGTGAGAGAGAGACCAGAGAGGGAGAGTGAGAGAGAGACCAGAGAGGGAGAGAGAGAGACCAGAGAGGGAGAGAGAGGGGGAGACCAGAGCGAGAGTAGAGCAAGAGAGAGACCAGAGAGGGAGAGAGAGGGGGAGACCAGAGCGAGAGTAGAGCAAGAGAGAGACCAGAGAGGGGGGACCAGAGAGAGTTGAGAGAGAGTAGAGAGAGAGACCAGAAAAATGACCAAAACAAATGTATGTGCAGTACTTTTGTTTTAGAGTCAGAGAACTGAGACGGAGGGGGCGGAGCTACAGAGGGGGCGGAGCTACAGATTGTGCTCGAAGTCCTTGACGTCAGCGTGGATGGAGCAGGTTTTGCATAATAACATCTGGTTTAAAGCTGGAGGTTGTGACTTTGTGATCAAACACTGTAAAGGTCGTGACAGTAAGCGGCTGTCGTGTTAATGAGACCATCAGTGAACAGGCTGACCTCGAGTCCTGGGGCAAGGCACTTCCCCCACCTGGTCTCTGTGTGTGTGTGAACCAGGACAGGAGAGACACCTGGTCTCTGTGTGTGTGTGAACCAGGACAGGAGAGACACCTGGTCTCTGTGTGTGTGTGAACCAGGACAGGAGAGACACCTGGTCTCTGTGTGTGTGTGAACCAGGACAGGAGAGACACCTGGTCTCTGTGTGTGTGTGAACCAGGACAGGAGAGACACCTGGTCTCTGTGTGTGTGTGAACCAGGACAGGAGAGACACCTGGTCTCTGTGTGTGTGAACCAGGACAGGAGAGACACCTGGTCTCTGTGTGTGTGTGAACCAGGACAGGAGAGACACCTGGTCTCTGTGTGTGTGTGAACCAGGACAGGAGAGACACCTGGTCTCTGTGTGTGTGAACCAGGACAGGAGAGACACCTGGTCTCTGTGTGTGTGTGAACCAGGACAGGAGAGACACCTGGTCTCTGTGTGTGTGAACCAGGACAGGAGAGACACCTGGTCTCTGTGTGTGTGTGAACCAGGACAGGAGAGACACCTGGTCTCTGTGTGTGTGTGAACCAGGACAGGAGAGACACCTGGTCTCTGTGTGTGTGTGAACCAGGACAGGAGACCAGGGCTGTTCCAGGCTGTGGTGATGTCACATGGTCTTCAGCCCTGTTTCCACCAGCCTTAGTCTACTCTAGTCTAGTGCCTTAATTAGTTTCCATTTGGTCCATCTATCCAAAGAGAGAGACCAGAGAGAGAGACCAGAGGGACCAGAGTGAGAGACCAGAGATACCAGAGAGAGAGACTATAGAAACCATAGAAAGAGACCATGGAGATACCAGAGGGAGAGACCAGAGAGACACTATAGAAACCATAGAGAAACCATAGGGAGAGACGAGAGAGACTATAGAGACCATAGAGAGACCAGTGGGAGAGGCCAAATAGAGAGACAAGAGAGAGACTATAGAGACCATAGAAAGAGACAAGGGAGAAACCAGAGGGAGAGACCAGAGAGACTCGTCAGGCCTTCATCTCTTCAGCACAGGTACTATGTGAATACTATGTGTGAACGCCTTTTGAAAATAAATGATTGAATGCATTAAAACATGAAATATCTAAGTGCGGTAAAAGACTCTGGACACTCGCAGCGACACAAGACGATAGAAACCCCGCTAACCCAGCTTTCCCAACAGCACAGAGACAGACACAGGTGAGACATCTGCAGGTGACGTGGAAGATAAAACCAGAAAGCTCTTTTTTTTCTCTAAAAAAAGTGATCATTGTGCATAGTTTGAAGTTCGTTAATAATAAAAACCTTCTAGTTGCTTTGACGGCAAGGAAGTAAGTGCAGCAATGTACAATTTTAGTGCACGTAGATCACTGTTGCACTGAACCCCATTGGCGCCCCCTAGTGGCTAACATCACAATCTGAATTTTTTCCTCTAGTTTTTAGTGTTTACTTTGATACAATGAGCCTCCGCCTCTCCTCTCTCGCTCTCAGCTCTTGCGTTTTGAGTCCTCGTAACTGAAGAATCCGTTGTCTTTCGGGGCGATCGGACTCATAC